ATTTTAAGGTACGATTCTTTACTTTCACTTTTGAAATGTTTTGAAATGTCCAGCCAACCAACAAACCAACTGATCAATCAATGTCTAACGAACAGATGTCCAACCAACCAATGTCCAACGAGCCGATGTTTGAACAAATTAGCCAACCAGATTTGAGTGTAGAGTGGTAGTCCTTCTCTGATAATGTCAGTTTGAATTGACACTTCAGTCAGAATAGTGTTTACCACACCCCTCTTACCATTAGTTTTGCACATGGAAATGTACAAAAATTGGTCTAACCAATCAGTTGGGCCAACCAACTGATATCCAGCCAATCAACCAACCAATCAATGCCCAGTCAACCAACCAACCAACCAACCAACCAATGTCCAACCATTCAACCAACCAACCTTTGTCTAACCAACAAACAAACCAACCAATGTCCAACCAACCAACCAACCAATGTCCGTCCAACCAACCAACCAACCAACCAACCAACCAATCAATGCCCAACCAACCAACCAATGTCTTACCAACCAACTAACAAACCAACCAATGTCTAACCAACCAACCAACCAACCAATGTCCGTCCAACCAACCAACCAACCAACCAACCAACCAATCAATGTCTAACCAACTGATGTTCAACCAACCAACCAACATCCAACCTACCAACCAAACAACCAACCAACAAACCAACTGATCTATCTATGTCTAACGAACAGATGTCCAACCAACCAATGTCCAACGAGCCGATGTTTGAACAAATCAGCCAACCAGATTTGAGTGTAGAGAGGTAGTCCTTCTCTGATAATGTCAGTTTGAATTGACACTTCAGTCAGAATAGTGTTTACCACACCCCTCTTACCATTAGTTTTGCACATGGAAATGTACAAAAATTGGTCTAACCAATCAGTTGGGCCAACCAACTGATATCCAGCCAATCAACCAACCAATCAATGCCCAGTCAATCAATCAATCAATCAATCAATCAATGTCCAACCATTCAACCAACCAACCTTTGTCTAACCAACAAACAAACCAACCAATGTCCAACCAACCAATCAATGTCCGTCTAACCAATCAATCAATCAATCAATCAATCAATCAATCAATCAATCAATCAATGTCTAACCAATCAACTAATTAATGTCTAACCAACCAACCTGTCCAACCTACCAACCAATGTCCAACCAACCAAACATTCAATGTCCAACCAACTAACCAACGAACCAACCAACCAACCGATGTCCAACCAACCAACCAGCCAACCAACCAACCGATGTCCAACCAACCAACTAATCAATGTCCAACCAACCAACCAACCAACCAACCAACCAACCAACCAACCAACCGATGTCCTACCAGCCAACCAACCAACTAAACAACCAATAAACCAAGTGATGTCCAACCAATGTTTAACTAACCGACGTCCAACCAACCAAACAACCAACCAATCAACCGACAGACCAACCAACCGATGTCCAACTAACCGATGTTCAACCAATCAACCAACCAAACAACCAACCAATCAATGTCCGACTGACCGACGTCCAACCGACCAACGTCCAACCAAAAGAAAAAAGAAAAATTCTGCAATTATTTATTCACACCTTCGCTTGTTCAGTTTGTTTTAAAAAAGCTGGAAACCAAACTCAAGTATTTTCAAATTATTCGGTTGCTCACATTTTGAGCAAAAGATTGAAAGGTTTATCAAGACATTCATATTCTCGTCTTTTTTGCTTATATTTACCAATGAAGCCAATGAGCCCAAGCCAAAATACAGGCTTTTAAAGCACTCCTGAAAGCATCTAATGCTCACTTTTTACCCTACTGAGACGCTCACTACTTTTCCCAAAGACTAAACCAATGAGTTAACAAAATAAACACAGCAAATATAACGTATGCACAGAAATATGTGAGCCGAGACAGGAAGAAGGCGGTATTAAATAAGGTACAGTTGACTCCAGAATAAGCACATATTTCTGAAGTGTGCTTTGAAATTCTGGATTTTCCTGAAGCTGTTCAGATTCACACTCTTAAGGGAATCATCTGTGAGCTTTATGAGCCTCCAGTTCAGTGTTTTCATGCTGTGACCTGGATTTTACAAGAGGGTGATAAAAGCCAAAATATGAAGACGGATACTGGGAGAAATGGGCTCTGTTCTATTACACAGTGAGCTACATGCATAGGGATAATTTAAAGGCAACGTAGACAAGTTCACATCAACAAGGCTGTTCCAACAGGTAGGGAGCATACAGAGTTCTACCTCTAGAATATATGTACAGTTATGGGAAAATATATGTTTGGTCTCTTTGGATATATTTATATTTGCTAGATAAGGGTTTTGAGTAAAATGTTAATTACAGCCTGACCGATTTATTGTTTTGCTGGTTTTATCAGACGTTATGAGCCAGTATTTAAACATTTTATTTCTATAACATATAATGCAGACAAGGAGCAGCATGGTGGCTCAGTAATTAGCACTGTTGCCTCACAGAATAGTTGCATTTCTGTGTGGAGTTTGCATGGGCTTCCTCTCGGTGCTCTGGTTTCCTCTACAGAACAAAGACATGCAGTATAGGTGAATTTGCATAAACTAAATTGGCCATAATGTACGAGTGTGAATAAGAGAGTGTATGGTTGTTTCCCAGTACTGGGTTGCGGCTGGAAGGGCATCCACATGCACAAAACATATGCCGGATATATGTGGTTCATTCTGCTGTGGTGACCCCTGATAAATACGTCGAAGGATAATCAAGATTTGAGTAAATGGTTAGTTTTAGCCTGACCAATATAACGTTTTCTGATCTTATCGGCTAATATAAGCCTGTCGTCGAAGTATTGGGATTGGCAAATTTGGCAATTGTAAACTTTTTTTCTTTAATTAACATAAAAATAATAAAGAATATTGGCCGATAAATAGATATCTATTTTTTTTTACTCCCTGTTTATGTTTATTTCTGTATATACTGTATTCTATATATATTACTACTTAAAAGCTGGACACATAAAGGGAAAAATAATGAAGAATACCGGCCGATATATAGATATCTATTTTTTCTTTACTCCCTGTTTATGTTTTTTTTTGTGTATATACTGTATTCTATATATAGTACTAATTTAAAGTTTGGACACATAAAGAGGAAAATAATAAAGAATATCGGCTGATTTATAGATATCTATACATTTTTTTACTCTCCGTTTATGTTTGTTTGTGCATATGCTGTATTCTATATATAGTACTAATTAAACTTTTAGACATACACAGGGAAAAAAAGGAAGAATATCGGCTGATATATGGATAATTTTATATTTTAATTCCTGATTATATTTGTGTATATACTGTTTTAAATTTTATATGGTTCTACTTAAAAGTTAAGTTAGGACAAACAAAGGGGAAAAATAATAAACAACATCATCCGATATGTTGATATCTGTATTTTTAAACTCCCTGATTATGTTTGTATATACTGAATTCTATTCTATTTGTTATACAACTCAAAAGTTTGAACACATGAAGGGGAAAAATTATAAACAAAATTGGCCGATATATCAATATATTTTAATTTCTTGATTATGTTTGTGTGTATACTGTATTATATTCTATATATAGTAATAGTCAAAAGTTGGTCACATAAAGGGGAAAAATAATAAAGAATATCGGCCGATATATAAATATCTATATTTTTTACTCCCTCTTTATGTTTGTTTGTGTATATAATGTATTCTATATATAGTACTAGTTAAAAGTTTGGACACATAAATGGGAAAATAATAAAAAATATTGGTCGATTTATAGATATCTACATTTTTTTCACTCCCTGCTTATGTTTGTATATACTGTATTCTATTCTTTTTGTTATACAACTCAAAAGTTTTAACACATGAAGGGGAAAATTATAAACAAAATTGGCCGATATATCAATATATTTAAATTTCTTGATTATACTTGTGTATATACCATATTCTGTTCTATACATAGTAGTAGTCAAAAATTGGTCACATAAAGGGGAAAATAATAAAGAATATATATATATATATATATATATATATATATATATATATATATATATATATATATATATATATATATATTTTTTTTTTTTTTTTCACTCCCTGTTTATGTTTGTGCATATACAGTATTCTAATTTATATTCAGTATTAGTCAAAAGTTTGGACACACAAACGGGATAAATTATAAAGAATATCACTTGATACATTGATATCAGTATTTTTTACTCCCTGATTATGTTTGTGTATA